CAGTACAGAAACTTTGGATTTCCATTTATTCATTGCTGCATATTTTCCTCCCTGCCCACCCCTGCCCCCCAGTTTGCTTTCCTTTTTGAAAAGTAAAAAAAAAAAAAAATTAAAAATCTTTCATGTGTTATACAATCCTCCACTATCCTCCCTACGCCTAGTCCACTCCACTATGCAGCTTTCATTCTGGACTCTTATCATGAGAATAATATCTAATCATATATTCCTCTTAAACAGTTCTCTCCCTCATCTGTTTCAATGCAGTGTACATTATTTATCCCCTTTTCTTAGTTCTCCCCACGCCCAATGTCAGTCCTGTTTTACAACAGTGGCACTATGCAGTATTTGTCCTTTGGTGACTGAGATATTTCACTCAGCATACTGTCCTCCAGGGTGACCCATTTTAAATAATATTTCACGAGTTCCTTGTTTTTTAATGGAGCATAGTATTCCATTGTGTGACTTTACCACAGCTTCTCTATCCATTCAATTTTTGTCAACTTTCAAATCTAGTCCGTGAATCTTCCACACGTGTCCCTACAAGTATGTTCCTGTTACTGATGTTGTAACAGAAGGCAACTTTCGAAGCCAGAGTTGGACAAAGTCATCATTGTCCTGGGGCTCTGAGGATCAAAGATTTTTATCAATCAGAAGCATCATCCCTGCAATATTTTGAGAAAAATTAACTGTATTGTGTTTGATAACCACACTTTGGAGTATATTTGTTAAGCCAAACGAAAGTTAAAAGAAGAGTCCCTGGTTAGCTAAAGAGAGAACTCTTTGATGGTCCAGGCTGGACTTTGACGAGGGCGAGTTGTGAAAAGATGAAATGGGTAAAATTAAACACATCAAAAGACATCACAAAGAGCATTAAAAGACAAGCCACCAAATGGGAAAAGACATTTGCAACACGTATAACAAGCAGAGAACTAGACATGATGTATATCCCAAGTATAGAAAGCCCTCCTAAAACACAGCTGGAAAGAAGACAAACAACCCACTGAAAAAATGAAGAAACTATTTGAAGAGGAATTTTACAAGAGAATGCTTATTAAACTGGTGAAGAAAAAAGTCTAGTATCACTGCTAATCAGGTTAGCACAAATTAAAAACATGGTGAGATAGACAATCGTCAGATTTGCAAGTATCTTCAAGTCTGGTATTGTCAAGTATTGGCAAGAATATTGAGGAATAGGAACTCTCATCATTGCTGATAGGAGTGTAAATTAGTACAACTACTTTGGAGAAGAGCTTAGTGTTATCTAAGTAAACAGAGATATATGTACCTTACGAGTTCACAGCTCTTTTATGAGCTCATGGCCTGGAAGATCTTTGCATGTGCTTCAGGATACAGACACAAGATATTGCAAGAACGTTTATAGCACTGTTCATAACAGCCCCCACCTGGACACACCCAACCGTACACCAACAATAAAGAACAAAAAATTCAATGCAGTCCAGTCAGAACTGACTCAGAGCTGATCTTCCAGCAGGTTTTTGGAAACTGTAAATCCCACAAGAAGAGATTGTTCATTTTTCTCCCACAGTGAAGCCGATGGATTCTAACCACCAGGAAAGCCTTTGAGTTAGGAACGCACCACGCTGTATAGACTAGGCCCCAGATCCTCAACAATAAAATAGATTTTTTAAAAAATGTAGCACTTAATTAAATCATATACAGCAGGGATAATAAGCTGTTACTTAGGGAGAGCAGGTATGAAACTCATAAATATGTTGAGCAAATGAAGCATGCCAAGAAAAAAAAATATATATGTGTGTGTGTGTGTGTGTGTGTGTGTGTGTGTGTGTGTGTGTGCACATGTATAAGTGTCTCTCTATATACACAACAAGGAGCTCTGATGGCTTACTGTTACTGTAGGGAGTTGTGTTGCCAAAGCTACGGTAAATGGCTCGAATCCATCAACTGTTCTACAGGAGGAAGGTGAGTAATCTTCTCCTGTGCAATTCCACCTCTGCAAACCTGCTGGAGGGTCATCCATGGATTGGTTACAACTCAGTGGTGCATAACAACACATATACAAAATATATAGTATGATGCCATTTATACAAGGAACTCTGGTGAACTAGTCTATAGTGAGCTGTGCTCACTGTAAACTAAAGGCTGCACCTCAGAGGCTGGTGAATACACCAGATTCACCACAGAAGAAAGTGGGCTGTCTCCTCCTGTGTGACTTCCAGCGTTGGAAACCCAGTGGAGGGTCAGCTATGAGTCAGTTTTGACTTGATCACAATGAGTGTTTTGAGTTTTCAGATAAAATTCAAAACCAGACAAAAACTAGTTTGTTTAAAGATGTCTATTATATAGTGAGTAAACCAGGGGCTGGGAAACTACAGCTAAAGGTCTAACCCGGGCTGCCACCAGCTTATGCATGCCCGCAAGCTAAAAATGGCTTCGTATTTTTAAACCACTAAGGGAAAAATATCCCCAATATTTTGTGAAAGATGAAATTAAGTTTCAGTGTCCATAAATAAATTGTCATGGAATGTGTTACGTACTGTCTGTGATCGGTTTTCAAACTATAAGGGCAGAGTTGCAAGTAGGTATAACAGAGATCATATGGCCTGAAAAGACACCTAAAATCTTTATTCTCTGGTTCCTTTTCAGAAAAATTTGGCTGACCCCTGAGTAAAATCAACAATAGGAAAATGATTCTCACAGAAATCCAAAGCAGCTACCATAAACGAAACAGAAGGATTTCTCTTCAGGAAGGGAATTGCAGGGAGTGGCAAATGGGGCCCAGCAGTGTTCTTGGGTGGAGGTTTCAAAGGCATTCAGCTCATAGTTGTTCTTTAAATTGTTCATATAAGCCTCATGTATTTTCTTTAAGCTGGGTATCTCTCAAAGACTTTCAAGTTTCTTCTCTCTCCTCCCAAATGTTGTTATTTTATGCCGACAAGTCAGAAGTGACTCATAGCTCTGTCAATTTCAGAATATTGACAAATTGTCTTGGGAGCTCAGGTGGCTTAGTGGTAAGAATCTGCGCTGCCAATGCAAAGGTACATGGTTCGAATCCACCAGTAGCTCTTCAGGAGAAAAGCAGGCAATTTTACTGCCTCTGAAAGCCTGCTGGAGGGTCAGTGATGGGTTGGTTCAGACTCTACAGCACACAACAGTGGTAACAAATCATATGGGAGGAGATTGCAAATCATTCTTTCATACAGAAGCTGGTGGATTTGAACTGATTGCCTTCTGTTTGGCAGAACAACTCCTTACCTCTAGGCCACCAGAGCTCCCTAAATAAGTTGTGATTTAAAAAAGACTCAAATGAAATGAAGTGACAGATTAGGAAAACATTTGTAATACATTTCACAATAAGAGTTACCCTCCCTAACACAGAAAAAGATCCTAGAAACTGAGATGAAAAAGGCCAACAAACTTGGGTGGAGGGAGAAATAATTTTTATATGATGAAAAATATGGTTAGCTTCATTCATAAGAGTATTAACACAAATCATAAACAAGATACTGTCCCCATCCTACAATTGGCAGAAGCAATTGTAAGTTGGCCAGGCAGTGGGCAGGCTCGCTATAACCTGCTTATACGTGTCAGGTCTGGCAAGAGCATTCACAGAGGCCCTCACGCCCTATGTCTATGTATTTACAATTATGAACCAAGCTAACAAACAGGGAAGTCAAACATATTCCATCTCCTTCCTTTCCAAGTATACCTTGATGTTCATGGGAAAGGCCAGGTTCTGGCTTAGAACCCCCATTTTCCTCAGAATGCCTCACAAGGGATTGGTCATGCACAGACTCCAGGCATGGGACACTCCTTTTTTTCCCCTTTAGGCCACCCCATGGGGAGGTCCCAAGCTCACAAGTGGACCCTCAATCCACATCCTGACTCTAAAGAAGACAGACTAGAGAAGAGGCTCTGTAATAGGAAGTGGGATGGAAGACATTTGACCAGAGATTTCTAGAGTCCTATATATATACTGTAGTATTTTCTAGAAGGCTAGCATGGAATCCAAGGATGAAATCTCCTTAGCTTCACAAACTTCTGCAGGGACCAGAGTCCAATAAAGCAAGAGCTCTTCTGACTCAAATATAAAAGGGTACTACTGATTATTGCCAAAGAAATTCCAATTACTTCCATGCATTACTGTTGTTGTTGTTGTTATGTGCCGTCGAGTCGCGACCCTATGTAAAACAGCCCTAAACTCTGCTCTGTCCTGTGCCAATCACACTGTCTCTGACACTCCCATCCCAATTATCCCAGTCACTGAATCAATCCACCTCATAGAGGGCCTTCCTCTCCTGCGCTGTCCCTCCACCCTCCCAAGCATGATGTCCCTCTCCAAGGACCGGTCTCTCCTCACAACATGTCCAAAGTATGTTAGACGGAGCCTCAGAATCCTTGCTTCCAAGGAGCCACCTGGTTTAACCCTTTCCAGGACAAATCTGTTTGTTTTCCTAGCCGTCCATGGTATTCTCAATACTCTTCTCCAGCACCACAGCTCAAAGGCATCAATTCTCCTTCTATCCTCCTTGGTCATTGTCCATTACTAGAGAAGTCAAAATGATACAATTCTATGGAAGATGTTTTGGCAATATCTATTGAAATTAAAAAATGAATTTACCCTTTGATCCATCAAGCCCTTTTATTACATATATCTATAAAGTTACACACACACACACACACACACACACACACACACAAGTTATTAACTATAGCATTGTTGCTTTTTTGGATTTTTTCCCCCCTGAAGCCATACAAGTGTCAAGGTATAGGAGGCTAGTTAAACTGTGGCAAGCACACATATGAAAAAGAATGAGAATGCTTTCTATAGATTAATATGAAAATAACAGATTTAAATGTAAAAAAAAAACACCACACACACAACAACCAACAAACCAACTACAAATGAAAACAACAAATAAAGCCAAACAAGAAATTGAAAGGCTCGTCGATATGAGTAAAATATCTCAGTATATACCTTTTAATGTTGTTAGTTGATGTAATAACTAATAAAAAACAAAATTTTATTAAAATAAAAGTCAAGTCATATAGACACAGGAAAGTTACGATAATAACTGTTCCCACTTAGAGCCCATGCTGACTGATGGATAAGATATAAAATAAGATAAAGGAAGTAAGTGAGTGTGGGGCTGCACCCCAATGTGCACTAAAGAACAGGGGACTGTGGATCAGAGGTGTTAGGGTGGGGTGTCCTGTGGTTCTCCAACAGGATCAAAATTAACAGCTTTCAAAGCCCATTAGGAGGAAGTGTGTTTCTCTGTCTTCTCATCTACATTTTAGAAACATCTCGTTTAACCAGCCCAGCCATGACTCAGTCAAATTATACTATATTGGTGAGAGTTCAGCTCCTGATGATCCACAGAAAACCCAGAGGCCAGCGGTGTGAGGCTCCCCACACAGCGAACCCCTCGAGGAAGGTGAACCTTGAGAAACTTGAGCGAAGAGAACTGTAAGGCCCAGCTTGCTTCCTTACCCAGAAACTCTTTTTCTGTCGTAAACTTGGAGAACCTCAAAGTTATCTTCACTAAAAAGCAACCTCCACACTCTCACTTGTCCCACCCCAGAGAACTTCATCAATGACTCAATGATAAAAACTCAAGCAATTTTCCCACTAACAATCAAGTTAATGGCTAAAAGTACATTTCTCAAAACTAGCAGTCACTAACTGAGGGTCACTCACCCCTTGTCCCAACCAGGTCAACGCAGGGATCACTTTCTCCTGGGCGATACACTGCAGGATCCGGGGAGCTCCGTACAGTCCTCCCATACAGGAGGCCAGAGACGATATGTACAGGCCCAGAAGGAACAAGAAGCCCACTAAGGAGACCTAGATGAGAAAACACTTCTATTACCAAAGTCAGGACCTGCTATTGCCCCTTTCAGTCCCCTCCCAGCAGCACACACCCACAAGTATGTACCCCATTTAATCACACACTAAGTCCTCCAGATTCTTCCTCTTGGAACAATAGCCTCCATCCCTGGCCCACTTTGTTTCTTACCATAGCCACAATGTCAGTACAGTTCACTATCAACTATGGGCCACGTAAACCGAAAATCAACTTCAAGTTGATTCCAACTCATAGGACACAGTAGAACAGACTTATGGCATTTCCAAGGTTGTATATCTTGATGAATACAGACTTCTACATCTTCCCTCTTCCCCACTCAGAGCAGTTGGTAAAGTTTGAACTGTTGATCTTTTCATTAGATAGGCCACACAGTAGTCCTCAAAATAGGCCGCAATGGCATCACCTGAAGGGCTTATTAAGCTAGATTTCTGGGCCCTCTCCACAGAATTTCTGGTTCTGTAGGTCTAGGGTAGAATCTGAAAATTAAGATTTCCAGGTTCTCGGCCTTTAGTCTTCTATCTCCTGATTCTCCTCACTCTGAATCCTAAAAGTTTCTGCTGGAGTGCCCTCTCGCTACTCAAACCTGATCATGTTGGGTCCCTGCTGCAAACATATCAATGGTTCCCCCCACCTAACGCACAAAACCCTTTATGGCCTGTGACCCCTTTATCCCCATACCCTGCACACTCCAAGTCTTTGATTAGAATAATTTTTCTGACAGCTGGAATTCTAGCCATACCTCTTAATCTATTCATTTTTTTCTACCCTGATTATGCTTCAAGATTCAACAGAGACTTCTTCTTATCCTGTAGGCCATCTTTTATGCTCCTCACAACATTGGCTGATTCACAACACTTTAGCATGGATGTTAAAGCACCTATTACATTCTCTCCTGTACCAGTCTGAAGGCTTGATTTAGAATGTCTCCACTTAAAATGAATCTTAGTATTTTTGACATTGGATGGTTGGTTGGGTAAGTGGATGGATGCATGCATGAGTAAGTGGGTGGATGGATGGATGAAATCCATGATCCGTAGGACTCACATGGCACCAACAGATGGAATAAGAAAGGACATAGTTCTTCTCTTTTGGTTTGTACTTAAAAAAAAAAAAAAAAAAGAATAGTGCTGCAGGAACATCAGACAGCTGCCATGGGTATGTTAGTCTTAAGTCAACTATACATTCCCGACCCCTGAGCTCTGGACTCACAAGAAAGTCTCTCCATTTTATTATTTTCTATTTGAGGTACCTTTTCCCATTCTATTTTACTTTGGGCACAGTTGGCCAGAACTCATTTATCTAACTATCACAGACGGGGTTTATTTAATTTTCAATTCTGTCACTTATCCCCTCCTCAAGAGAAGCTTTCCTAAGCCCATTTTAAAACTTCTCTTCTTTAACAATAGATCAGTGGACTAAAAAAGTGAAGATTTGAAACACTTACTTCAGAAGATCAAAGACTTCCCCCTTCAATATAGGTTACATCTCAACATCAAGAAAATAAAAATTCTCACCACTGGGCTAATAGGTAACATCATGATAGAGAAAAGAAGAAAGTTATCAAGGATTACATTTTACTTGAATTCACAATCAACATCCATGAAAACTACAGTTACAAAACCCATGAAAACACTTCACCAAAGAAGACACTCAGATGGCAAACAAACACAAGAAGAAATGTTCAAAATCCCTAGCTCTAAGAAAAAGTAAAATCAAAACAACTATGAGATATCATCTCATCACAGTAAGAACAGCAAAATTGAACATAACAGCAAACAACAAATGCTGGCGAGGTTGTGGGGAAGCTGGAACCCTTAGGTGGGAGTGTAAAATGGTGCCACCACTGTGGAAAGCTGTATGGCGCTTTCTCAAAAAGTTGCAAATAGAAATACCATTTGACCCAGAAATTCCACTATTGGGAATATACCCTAAAGAAACCATAACCGCCACCCAAGCAGATATATGCACACCCATGTTTATCACTGCTTTGTTCACAATAGCAAAGAGTTGGAAACAATTCAAGTGTCCATCAAAAAATGAATGGATAGAGAAACTGTGGCATATTCACACATAGGAATATTATGCTACATTGAAAAACAAGGAACCCATGAAATACACAAAATGGGTGACTGGAGGACATTATGCTGAGTTAAATATCTCAGTCACAAAAGGACAAATACTGCATAGTGCCACAGTTGTAAAATGGGACTGACATTGGAGTTGGGGGGAACTTAAGAAAAGAGGGGATAAATAATGTTACTGTATTGAAACAGATGAGGAAGAGAACTGTTTATATGATTAGGTATTATTTTCATGACAAGAGTCCAGAATAAGAACTGTATAATAAAGTGGACTGGGGTGGGGGGAGGATTTTATAACAATGAAAGAATTTTTTTTTCTTCAAAGACAAAAGTAAACTGGGGGGAGGGGTGGGTACGGAGGAGAGTTGCAACAATGAATGAATGGAAATCCAAAGTCTCTGTAAACTTTCATTAAAATTTAAAAAAATAAAATAAAATTGAAAAAAGAAATAAAAGGCAGCATACAGATTGCCAAAAAAAGAAACAAAGAAAGAAATCCATGAAAGCAACAGTTAAGAAATGAAAAGACATGTTGCACTGGGAATATCTGCTGTCAGGACTTCGCCAAAGTGCTAATGAACAAGGATGTCACCTTAAAGACTAAGGTGCACTTGATCCAAGCCATGGTCTTTCAATTGCTTTGTATGTATCTAAAAGTTGGATAATAATGAGGAAGGCCTTTGAATTGTGATGTGGGCAAAGAAAATGGAATATGCTATGGACTGCCAAAATAACAAATAAATTGTGGAGAAAGTGCAACCAGAGTGTTCCTTGGAGGCAAGGATGATGAAACTTAATTTTCACATTCTTTGAGCATGTCATCAGGTAGAGTTTGTCCTTGGAAAAATAGAAAAGATAGAGGGTCTGTGCAAGAGAGGAAGACTCTCAACGAGATGGATTGATGCAGTAACTACAACAATGGACTTGAATATAATGGGGATTGTAAAGATGCAACAAGATAGGGCAAGATTAAAATCTGCTGTTTGTTGGGTTGCTGTGCGTTTTAGTCACCTTGATGGCACCTAACAACAGTGGAGTGAAGCTACAACAGTGGAGTCCTAGTCCCTGGCAAGATCTCTTTTCTGGCTCCAGGTTGCCATTGAAAACCATCAGTCAGGATTCTTGGTTAGACAGAGAATTTTTTTTTCTTCAAGAACTTATCTGGAGACTAAGGTGCGCCTGATCCAGGCCACTGTCTTTTCAATTACTTGCTATACATCAGAAAGCTAAACCATGACAAGGGATAACAGAAGAATTGATGCCTTTGAGTTGTGGTGCTGGAGAAGAGTATTGAATATACCATGGACTGCCAGGAGAAGAAACAAGTTCATCCTAGAGATGGTGAGATCTGGCTGCTCCTTGGAGGCAAGGATTCTGAAGCTTCATCTGACTTACTTTGAACATGTTCCAAGAAGGAATCAGTCCTTGGAGAGGGACATCATGCTTGGGAGGGTCGAGGGACAGCACAAGAGAGGAAGACCCTCAATGAGATGGACTGACTCAATGACTGGGGTAATGGGGTTGGGGGTGCCAGAGACAATAAGGGTTGGCACAGGATAGAGCAGGTTTCAAGGATATGGTTCACAGGGTCACTGCAAGTTGCAAGTGACTCAACAGCACATAATAACAAAAATTGGAAGGCTTCAAATATTGAAGCAGTTGATTATTAGTTAAATCAAAACAAACCGTTTACACCTGATTGTTAATTAAGTAAAAACAACTTACCTTCCAGAATCCAGCTTCTTCAGTATTTGAAGCTGTTGCAATATTGAAAGATGCTATGGGAAATACATTGAATGGCCCGGAAAGCATCAAAAGAACATGAAGGAGAGTACACAGAATCACTATATCAAAAAGAACTAAAAAATAAATTTAAAACAATAAATAAAACAAACAAAAAAAATTAAAAAAAAAAAAAAAAAGACCTGATAGACACCGAAAAGTTTCAGGAAGTACTGCATGAACAGGAGCCAACGGTAAGGAAGGAGGAAGTGGAAGCTGCATTGAAGGTATTTGCAAAAAATAAAGCTGCAAGAATTTATGGGATACCAATTAACTTGTTTCAATTAACAGATGCAGCCTTGGCTATGCTCAGCAGCCTATGCCAGGAAATTTGGTGAATAGCTGTCTGGCCAATGGATTGGAAGAGGTCCATATTTGTTCCCATTCCCAAAAAAGGTGATTCAACAGAATGTGGAAACTATCAAACAATATCATTAATTTCATATATAAGCAAACTACTGCTGAAGCTCATTAAAAAACAGTGAGAACAGTAAGTACATAGATAGGGATCTGCCAGAAGTTCAAGTAAGACTTAGAACAGGTCATGGCACCAAGGATATCATTGCTGATGTCAGGTGGATCCTGACTGAAAGTAAAGAATATCAGAAGAATGTCTGTGCTTTATTGACTAAGCAAAGGCATTTGACTGTGTGGATCATAACAGGTTATGGCTGACATTAAGAAGAATGGGAGTCCCAGAGCACTTAAATGTGCTCATGTGAAACCTATACCAACACCAGGAGGCTGTTGAGCAAATAGAACAGGGGAACACTACATGGTTTAAAATGAAGAAGGGAGCATGTCAGGGTTGTATTGTTTCTTCATATCTATTCAATCTGTATGCTGAGCAAATTATCCGAGAAGGTGGACTCTATGCAGAAGAGCGTGGAATCAAGATCAAGAGGAGACTGCAGATGACACAACTTTTCTTGATGAAAGTGAGGAAGACTTATGGGCAGCCAAACTTTATACTTTATATTATATGAAAATCCTTGTTCAGGAATTGAAGGAATTGCAGATTTATAAGTTAGGATTTCTCTTGTGGCAGATCCCAGAAAATGAGCTGTTTGTTCCCTGCAGACAGGAGACAGCTAGGGCCCCCCTACAGAGTGTTA